CAGAAAACAAGAACTGCATACTCTTAAATGGCTTTAAATGGGGGTCAGAGCCCCACTCTTTCCTATCTCTCATTAACTTTAATGCCTTCTCAGGGACAGTAATTGCCGTTACAAAAATGATTTTGTGCACACAGATCCTCAAACTTGCTTCTCCAAGCACAGGGAAGCCTGGACTCTCCTTCGACACCCATCAGTGCCCACCTGCAATTCCAAGTGTCCCAGAGTGCACCCAGCTCCCCTAGAACATGCTGCCCACACCCACCCTCCAGACCCAGTTCTGGGCACATACCAAGGGGATCCTGGGAGAATGAAAGGGGCTTTGTCTATTTGTCCTTCAGCACCTCTCACCCTACTCTCCACCTCAGAGAGGGCAAAGCTCAGTCCACTTGCTCCCACAGATGGTTGCCCATTGGCAACTGCAGGGTCCTTCTGATCCCTTCTTCAGAGAAGGGAGTTGGCTCTTCAGCCTACCCTAAAGGGGAGAGATCAAAGGTCAAAGCTGCATTTGGACCCTGTCCAGGTCATTAATAATAATAGTAAGAGTGACTAATACTAATCAAGTGTTTACCACATGCCTGGCTTTGGGTTTAGTCTTCTCTATGCAACATTGCTTAATCCACGTACCCACCATGAGATAGGTACTATTATTAACCCTATTGGTACATAAAGGAACTGAGTCACAGAAACTTTCTGATTCCAGATGGTATACCCCATCCCACTGGGCTACAGTACACAGGCCTACAACTCCTGAGTGTGGCTGGGGTCCTCCAGATTCCTATGGGCACCTTCCTGGGTTCCTAAGCTTTGAGCCACATGGTAAGGGTCCTAGGAGGGCAGAGAAAGCCAGAGGTACTCCCCTCCTCACAACTCTGACCTGGTCTTCCCTTAGAGAATTTTGAGGCCCACAAAGAGCCTGCCGAATGAACTATGAAGAATTTGGACGGGAAGCCTCTGACCTGAGTCTTGGGTATAAGACAACTACCTCCCTGTTAACAGGTACACCAGTTAACCAGGACACCCTGCCCCCAACTTCAAGGACATGGAAGTCAATGTCAAATGCCTAACCTTGACTCTGGGGGGCACCTGGGGCTGGGGACCAGCAGTCCCACTTCACCTGCCAATGAAAGCTAAGTGGAGATTTATGAGAGCGTTTTAGATTAGTATTACTGGCTATTTAGCCAGGCAACTTAGGGAAAGGAAAAGCATGTTGGATGGGAAATATTTGCTGCATGTCAAGCCCAAACAACTTTATCCTTAAACACTTCATCTCCAAAAGTGCTGGGGAGACCCTTGGCCAAAGAGCTTCAAATCCAACATTCACTGCAAGTCCTGCTGCCTGGGGCAAAGACTTCCCTCTGTGAGGCATTTGCTGTGGAACCAAATGCTTTTCCACTCTAAACAACAGCCAACAGCACTTGGGACAACTGAGAGGGCTCCAGATCAAACAAACATTCTTTTTTCTACCATGCAAACTTTCTCAATAAATTATTCGCCCACTTCGGATCAAAGCCTGTTTTTGCAGCCTGTGACCTAAAAAGCAAATAGCAACTCTTAAACATGAAAGCCCTCCTCCCTGCCTGGGTCGGCTTTATTACTCATTCCTTCCCCTTACAGTTATTCTGTTGTTATTTTCCTCCTCTGCTTGTTAGATGGCTCCGCCAGTCCCAACCTGTCCCAGGAAGATGGGACAGAAGGGATGGCACTTCACTTGGGGCCCTAAGGTGAGCAAGGAAGTCAGGGTAGGGGAGAAGCCAGCACCCTGGGAACCCAGGAAACAGGGCCAGGCCTGGTTGGCAGTTCCCAGGCCGGTCCATTTGCCAAATGTCCTACTGGGAATTCTACCAGTGAAGAGAGTTAATGCTACCCTGGGAGGAGGGCGCAGGTGGCCCTACCACCACCAGGGCCCAGGAATCAGTTTGCAAACAGAACCCTTAAGGGGACCTCCTGACAGCTTGCCTGGGCTCAAAGCGCAGGGCTCCTCCCCTATCAACAAAGGTGAGATGGCAGGTCAGGCTTGCCACTCAGCCCCTCCCCATCCCTTTGGCAATGCTGAGTGCAAACATGATGCCCCCTGATGATCCCCTGCAAACTCAACCTGTGGGTGAAACTTTGTCTCTGAATCCTGCAGATGAGCAGGGGGAGGGGGGCGGCGGGTGCTAAGTGCAGGGGCAAGGTTTGGAAATCTGCAGAGACCAGAGGGCTGCAGTGTGCCCTTGGCACTGGGCAAAGGGAAACATGGCTCTTCCCGCTCCCACCAGCCCTGGGCATGAAACTTGCGGCGAAGATAGTAAGAAAAATATAAAAAGTCAAGTGCCCTGGCGGGTGGCAGAGTCTTAGGAGGTTGGGGGTGGGGGTAGGGATGGCACGCGCCTCCAGTCCGCCCCTGGAGGCAGTCCGCGGGACCGCAGGCTGGAGGCGCGCCGGCGTGATTCCGACCGCGGGAGCCGGGAGGAGGAGCCGGAGGTGGCTGCGGGGGGCTCTGGCCCAGGCAAAGGAAGGGCAAGAGGCGGTTCAGGCCGGGGGTGGCGACGGGAGGTGGACTGGACGCCCGGGGCGGGGGGTAGGGATTGGGTAAAGCGGTTATGGGCCCCGCGCCCCTTGTGGAGTGAGCAGTTGTGGGGAAGTGTGTGTGTGTGTGTGTGTGTGTGTGTGTGTGTGTGGCGGGAGAGGGGGTCTTAGGCCTCTGGATGGTACAGTGAAGCCATCCTGTCTGTCTTGCTGGCATCCCCATCTTCTGACTAATCGCGAAGCTGACCCCTGTCTCATCCCTTGGCCTGGAGAAGAGGGTGTCTCAGGGCCCAGGGATAGGCGGGAAGGGACCGGAGGGAGCCACAAGTCTGCACACAGGCGGGGAAGAGGCGGGAGGGAGCCGCTCCGCAGGCGCAGGCGAGTGGGTGGGAAGAAGGGAGGGAGAGAGGAAGAGAGGAAGGAGGTGAGGCCGGGAAGATGCCACTGCCTGGGGGGCGGGGCCGGGCCGGGGAACAGGGAGAGCGACTGCAGCGGTGCTTGGTGGGGGCGGGGGCTGCAGTGTCACTCATTTGGGGGTCGGGTATGAGAGTCCAGGCTGGGACTGCCACTAGCCTACGTCTTCCCGGTACCACCCAGGGCGCAGGGGCGGAGGCGGAGAGCCGGGGACTGCAGAACCTACCCCCAGAGCGGGACGCGAACCCGCTGAGTTGGGAGAAGGTAAACAAGGGCCACGCCCCCTGCCGTCGCCCCGCGGGCGCGCACCCGCGGCTCCGGCCGCCGCGGGTACATTTCCACTCTCTCAGCGCTTCTCCCCCGCCGGACTCCCGCGCAGCCCTGGAGGAGGGAGCTGCCCCCGACCCAGCCCGCTCCCCGGGTGCCGGGGCTGCGCACCCTCTACACTCACCTGGAAAGGGCGTCCCCCACCCCTCCAAATAACTGTGTTTAATTTGTGCAGAGCCTCAGCGCCCGGGAGCTGAGCACGCTGCCCCCGCGTGCAGCGCCCGCGTGCACCTAGCCCGGAGAGGGGGCGACAGGGCGGAGGCAGTGGCCCCCGGAAGGTGTCTGGGACCCGGCTGGCTGCACGTGAGCCCAGCGCGGGGTCATGTGCACCGGCTCAACCCGGTTCGTCGCCCGGACGTGCTGCGTACCAACAAAATGAAACTCGGGGCGACAGGAGGGCAGTTAACTCTGGGTCCTCCGAACCCTCGTCCCCGGCCGCACGATCTCCCCTTGGCACAGGTCTCCCGCTGCAGCCCCTCCGCCCAGCTCGAGCCGCGGGGCAAGTTGCAGCCCCTGCGCGCCCCCGCCCGCCCGCGCCCCCTAGCCTGCCCGGGGGCTCTTTGCCGCAGTCATTAATAAAGAAGGTCGCCAAACTCACCCTTCCAAAAGTTGTTGTAGCATGCGCCCCTCTCAGCCTCCCCGCAATGTACTCTTTAAAACACGACTGACCAACATGCGCAATCTCTCTTGCCTGTGCTGTGCATCCCCCCTCCCCCCGCGCGCTGGCTTCCTAGAACAGGCAGCCAGCAGGAGAGAGAGGGAGCGAGCGAGCTAGAGACTGAGCGAGGAGCGCTGGCAGATCTGTTGCAAAAACACAAAATAACGCCGTGGAGATGCGCAGGGCCCATCGCTGGGGGCTGGATCTTACCTTGCTCCGTGGTGCCCTTCCGAGGGGCGCTGCCCTCGGCTACGCGCCGCGGCGGGGACCGGCGCGGGAAGGATGCTCCCGAAATCCGGAGCTCCAGGGGCCGGCGCGGGCGGGCGGGGGGCGCGCATCCATCCGGGGTCGCGGCGAGGGAGGCGACGGGGCCCGCGGCGTCCCCGGCCCCGCGCCTCTGCCAGGGGCGGTTCAGCCCGAGGACCCGAGCCCTTGCCTTCTAGCAGTGGGCGCAAAGTAACTCCATGGACACTACTCACCCCCACCAAAAAATAGCTTCCAACTGCGATGGCCGCGGTCGGGACCATTCACCAACCCCCCTGTGTATGTTTCTGTTTCTTTTTAAACCAAGACTTCCTTGTGATCTCTTTAGAAAAAAAAAAAATGTGTTGGGGTGGGGGTGGGGTGGTTGGGGGCGGGCGGGAGGAGCAAGGGAGGGGGAGTAGCCACTTTTTTCTTATTCAGTCCGAGCTCCACTCCTGACAACCCCCCTCCGTAGCCCGCCACCCCCCACCCCCCTGCGCCCAGTTGTTTGGCTTAAGAAACGGGTCCAGGTAGCGTTGCAGGCCGCAGGAGGGAGGGTGCCCTGCCGGGCTGCCAGCCTGCCTGCACCTCGAGCCCGGACTCCCCGCGGACTCTGGGGCGCCCCCAGCCCGCCCTGTCCCCAGGGCCGGGCCCGAGCGGCGGCTGCGCCCGAGCAAGTCCCATCAGGTCTGCTCACACTTCACACACTCACCCACATACCCCGCCCCTCCACTCTCTCACTCACTCACACTTTCTGCTCACACCCCGCCCCCTTCTCGCCCCAGACCCGGGCGGTGCCCCCCGCAACCTTTAAAAAAAAAAAAAAAGGCAAGCTTATACTTAAAAAAATCTTTTGGCGCCATATTAATGACGTACTTAAAATTTGCCATTTCTCCCTGCGTCAAAAAGACGTTTCTTTGCAAATAGCCTGAAGGCGACACTCGCGGAGGGAACGAGGTTTGCATTGAGCACCCCGCCTCCCGGGGCTCCAGCGCTGGAAGACCCCCGCCCTAGGCCCTGCTCCTGGATCGCTGATTTAAAATGCGAACCGAATAAATCGCGTGGCGTTTTACAGCCAGAAGTGAGCAGAAAGTGCTGGCAGGAGCGGAGGGAGGGCGCGCGCGGGTCTGGGGGAGGGGGGTGCGGCCCTCCCTCCCCTCCCCCCCAGCAGATGGAAACTACCATCCCGGGCGGGGAAAACTTGAAATTGTGGGCGACCTCTAGAAAGGAGGGGCAATCCATAGAGGGTCCCTCTCGGGCTCATCGCCCCCTCCTCCCGCCCGGGTGCCTCCTGGCACCCAGCTCTGCCCCGCATTTCCGGGGGTGGGGAACGTAGTGATGGGTGGGTGGGTGGGTGGCTGCAGGTCCTGGCCCTAGAGGAGTTTGCCCCGGGGTATCCCCTTCCCCTTGCTTGTCCTTCCCATTCCCCATAAAGGGTTAAAAACCGAGGGGCAACTTCCAAGGGTTGGCACTTGGCGAGGAAGCGGGGCGCCCCTCTCCCCACCCTTCGCCTCCTCGCCCCTCCTCCTCCGGCTCCACTTCCCGACTTGACCTTGTGGTGCACAAACAGTGCGCTCGGATCCTCGCAGTTTCTGGAAGAAGAGCTTGTGCTCGCCAGGCAGGCGGACTGTGGGGCGGCTTGCGAGCGGTGGCGGGGCCTTGGGTCGGTTCCCAGAGCCGCGGGCCACACCCACTCAACCCATAGTGCCCGCCGCGCTCACCTTCTCTCGAGGAAGGAGCCCGGCTGGCCTCCTGGATGGGGAGGAGTGAGAGGCAAGCTGCAGCCTTCTCCCGATGCTCCCAGCTGGGGAGGAGGTGGTCAGGTCTCGGGCGGGATTTGGGAAGGGAGACCTGGGAGCCTGGCCCAACATCCCCAAAGCATCATGGCCAACTTTTCTTCACCCTACCGTTTGGGGGCCCCTCAAAGATGATCCAATAATTTTTTCAGCTCACCTTTGGCTCTGAAGGCACATGGATGAGTAATGGGCCAGGAACCGCCTTCCCTCTCCAAGACTGAAGGCTGTTTATTCTTTTTTCCCCCTCTGCCCCCGACCGGGGTAAGATAAATATTCAATTTACATACGGTGACATTCATGTCACAATTAAAAAGATTACCCAATGGGATGTTGTGAGCACATTTCTTATAGGAGAAATAAATCTAATAATAAACTCATAACAGCACAAATCTTCTGAGGGACTGATTGTCTACACAACAAAGAAGGAGATGACGGATGCTGAAATAAGCACTTTTGCAAGAAAGAAACAGGAGCTCAAGGGAGTCAGTTCAATATTTCTCCTTCATTCACAAAGTCTGGGAGGGCTGGTCTGGCAAGACTGACAGTCTGTGTATCACCTCCCACTTAGCTTTAGCTCTCAGTGGTCAGTTAGCAGGATTTGCCAAAGCCCGAGTCAGCGACAGTGATAGGCTGTGGGCATGTAAAAAAATGGTTAAATACTTGGGTTCTAATCCTGACCCTTCAGTTCAGAAGCTGCTTGATGTGGGCAAGTGAATTCATCTCTCTGGTTCTCTTTTTCCTCTTCTGTGGAATGGAGTGGTGGCAGGGTTCCTAAGGCCATGTGTACATATATACACATGTGTATATATGTACATATATGTATATATGTACACATACATGCTATGTGTGTAAAGCAGGGCCTGGCTCAGAGTGCACAGTGCACATTAGCACTTTCCCTGGTGCCTACCTTTTGGAAGGGTGAATGAGCCCTCTAAAAGCTCTTAATGCTAAAAAACTGGGGACAGTGATATGTGTCTTACCCTCTATGAGGACATATACAAGATCTCCCAGTGTCGGCAAAAGGGAAAGCCAGAAGAAGCTGTGACAGATGGTGGGCTTTGTGACCAAGGTCCAGATGTCAGTCTCAGCCACACATCTGAGGTGGGGGGGAAGGCACCGATTTACAGTGGCACAGTCCAAGGGGACTGCTCTGGTTAGGTCTAGTTGCAGAGGGTTTACATGCAGGAGAGGACTGGACATGCTCTTGGCCATCAGGATCCCACAAACCTTGGCAAGAGCCCTAGCTGGTTTGGCTCAGTGGATAGAGCGTCAGCCTGCAGACTGAAAGGTCCCAGGTTCGATTCTGGTCAAGGGCATGTACCTTGGTTGCGGGCACATCCCCAGTAGGGAGTGTGCAAGAGGCAGCTGATCGATGTTTCTCTCTCATTGATGTTTCTAACTCTCTATCCCTTTCCCTCCTCTCCGTAAAAAATCAATAAAATATATTTTTTAAAAAATAAAAAATGACCTAGAGCCCTAGCTGGTTTGGCTCAGTGGGTAGACCGTGGGCCTGTGGACTGAAGGGTCCTGGGTTTGATTCTGATCAAGGCGTGGGTTATGGGTCCGATCCCCAGTTGGGGGTGTGCGGGCGGCAGCCAATCATTGATTCTCTCTCATCATTGATATTTCTGTTGTTCTCTCCCTCTCCTTTCCTCTCTGAAATCAATAAAAACATATTTTTAAAAAATGACCTAGAGATATGGAAGAGGGAGGGAATGACCATTTATACAGTGCCCTATCTGTGCTATATACTGTATATGCCATCCCATTTCAGCCTCACAAAAACCCATCTTACCTATTCTGAGAGGTTTAGTAACTTACCAACAATCAGGCAGGCTAGCAAGTGGTAGCAGAATTGGCACCTAGTCCAGCTGACCGTGAAGCCTATGTGCTTTCCATTTGCCACACTGCCAGAGATAAACAGAATTAGCATTAATGGTTTGATTGAGGATGGAGGCCTGATTGCTGTACAGCAGGTAAGAAAGAATCTTATGTGCAGCACCTTGATTCTGAAGTGATTCCCTGAGTCTGGGTATGACCCATGTCCCCTAAAATGTCCTTGGAAGCTACTGCTTGTTTAGGACTGGAAGCTCCATCAGAATCCTTGGGTTCCTACAGTGCTCTGCTGTTTATTTATTTATTTATTTATTTTTTCAGTGCTCTGCTGTTTAAGGTTAACCTTGGAAATGTTAACAGAATGATAGCCACAAAGCTAATTATAACTTTTTAATGTTTACTAAAAGTCTCACAAATCATTAACTTTTTACAGAAAAAAAAAATAAGAAGAAACATAGAGTTCTTAGAGATATAATCACTCTTTTTCCCCCAACAAATACTTATTGAGTGCTTTCTGGATGCCAGGTACCATTCTAGGTGCTGGGGACACAGCGCTACAATGGCAGACAAAAAAGCCTGCTCTCATGGAACTTTCTAGTAAAAGGAGATACACAATTTATTTATTTTTTAAATATATATATATATTTTTTATTGATTTCAGAGAGGAAGGGGTACTGAGAGAGAGAGATAGAAACATCAATGATGAGAATCACTGATTGGCTGCCTTCTGCATGCGCCCTTCTGGGAATTGAGCCCACAACCTGGGCATGTGCCCTTGAATGGAATTGAACCTGGAACCCTTCAGTCCTCAGGCTGAAGCTCTATCCATTGAGCAAAACTGGTTAGGGTTATACAACTTGCTTAGAAAGTAAAAAAAAAAAAAAAATAGCCCTAGCTGGTTTGGCTCAGTGGATAGAACATCGGCCTGTGGACCAAAGGGTCCCGGGTTTGATTCCAGTCAAGGGCACATGCCTGGGTTGCTGGCTCGATCCCCAGTAGGAGGCGTGCAGGAGGCAGCCGATCAATGATTCTCTCTCATTGTTGATGTTTCCATCTCTCTCTCCCTCTTCCTTCCTCTCTGAAATCAATAAAAATATATTTAAAAGAAGAAAAAAAAGAACTTGCTATAAAAAAAAAGAAAGTAAAAAACTATATGTCATGTTTGAAGGTAGTGCTGTGGAGAAAAATTAAGTGCGAAAGGGAGATAAGGGAACGTGGGGATGCAATTTAGAGTCCTCAGGAAAGAACTCACTGAGAAGGTGGCTTTTGAGTAAAAGGAGGTGAAGGCGTGAGCTATGAGATTTATGGGGAAAGAGCTTCCTAAGCTCAGGGTTCTTAACTGGAGTCCACACATACCCCTCCCCTCTAGAGGTCTGTGTATAAAATTCAGGGAGTCTTGATCTTAGAAGGGAAAATACACATATATCTTTATTTTCACTAATTAAAATTCAGCATGCTCTTCAATTATGAATGCAGACAGCAAATCACAGTGATCGTAGCAGCACCTGTGACATTGTTGCTAGCAGAAATCAGATATTTCCATATCACATTATAGTTGTCGAAAATATCTAAAATATCACTATACTCATCACTACTTCAAAATGCTGCTAGCTCTTATAATTTAATGAGTTAATAAGAAACATAAAGTACTATATTACACATTTTAAAATAGTTTGAGATTTGTATGTCAATATAGTTTTCTTTATTATTTACATAACTTATTTTATGGATTTGAAGATGTTACACTCAGAAGGAGTCCATGGCACAAAGAAAAGGTTGAGAGCCACTGTGTCGACTGAGAGACCAGCAGGCGCAAAGGCCCCGAGGCAAGAATGTACTTAATACGTACCCGTACAAAGAAGAGTTATAGAGGGCATTATTAGAAACCCGGCTTTTCTGGGAGTAATGTGAACAGTTTTGAGCAGAAGAGTAGCATGATGTGCTGCCGATTTTAAGGGTTACTCTGCTGCTGGATGGAGACAGACGGAAGGAGGAAAAGCTGAAGCAGGAAGACCAGTGAGGAGGTCACGGAAGTAAATCAGGTAAAAGCTGATGTTAACTTGGACTATGGCGGTAGCAATGGAAGTGGTCAAATTCTGTATATTTTGAAGATGGCTCTGACAGGATTTGTTGATGGGGTGTGAGAAAACCAGAAGTCAAGGATGAGGACAAGAGGTTTGCCTTGTGCCAATGGAAAGATGGAGCTGTCAGTAACCGAGATGGGGGAAACTGTGGAAGAAGTAGGTTTTGGGGGAAGATAAGGAGGTCAGTGTTGGACATGTTAAACTCGAGATACCATTAGACATCTAAGTGCAGCCATCCGGTAGGCAGCTAGAAATGGTAGCCTCAGCTCAAGGGCAAGGTCTGGGCTGAAGATGTCATTTGATAGTGGTCAGTAGGTAGATGATATTTAAAGATATAAGGCTGTTTGAGATCACTAAGGAAGTGAGTGTAGAAAAAGAAGTGGTTGCCCTAGCTGGTTTGGCTCAGTGGATAGAGCGTCAGCCTGCGGACTGAAGGGTCCTGGGTTCGATTCCAGTCAAGGGCACATGCCCAGGTTGCAGGCTCAATCCCCAGTAGGGGGCATGCAGGAGGCAGCCAATGAATGATTCTCATCAATGATGTTTCTATCTCTCTCTCTTTCTCCCTTCCTCTCTGAAATCAATAAAAATATATTTTAAAAGAAGAAAAAGAAGTGTTCCACGGATAGTACCCTTGGGCACTGCAAAGTTAGGAGGAATCAGCAAGATGTTAAAAAAGAAGTATCTAGACATTTCTCCAAGGAAGAGATACAAACGGCCAATAAGCACACAAAAAGATACTCAACATTACTAACCACTAGGTAAATGCAAATCAAAACTACAGAGTGATACCACCTCATACTCAGGATGGCTAAGATAATAACAAACAAATAAAGCAAAACAAAAACACAGAAAACAAGAGTTTATGAGAATGTGGAGAAATTAGAACCCTTGTGTATTATTGGTGGGAATGTAAAATAGTACAGCCATTCCTCAAAAAATTAAAAAATAGAATTACCTATGTTCCAGCAATTCCATTTCTGGATACATTCCCCCCAAAATTGAAAGCAGAATCTTGAAGAGATATCTGTACACTCATACTCACAGCATTATTCACAATAGCTAAAATGTGGAAGCAACCCTGGTGTCCATTTGATGGATGAATGGATGAGCAAAATGTGGTATATACATCCAATGGAATATTATTCATCTTTAAAAAGGAAGGAAATTCTGCAATGTGCTACAGCATTAATGAACCTTGAGGTTCTTACGCTAAATGAAACAAGCCAGTCACGAAAACATAAATACTGTGTGATTCCCCTTGTATGAGATATCTAGAGTGGTGACATTCATAGAGACAGAAAGTAGAATGTGGTTGCCAGGGGCTGGAGAGAGGGGGAAATGGGGAATTATTGTTTAATGAGTCCAGTTTCAGTTTTGCAAGATGAAAGAGTTCCGAAGATGAATGGTAGTCATGGTTGCACAATAATGTGAATATATTTAATATCACAACTGCACACTTAAAAATAGTTACAGTAATACAATTTATGCTGTCTATTTAACCACAATAACAAAATTGGGGGGGCGGGGGATGAAAGGAGGAGGAGGAGGAAGAGGAGGAGGAGGAGGAGAATCCAGAGAGGTTAGAAGCCAAATGAAGAGTTTCAGGAGGAAGAAAAGGTTCAATGTCCAAAGCTGCCAAGGAGTCAGGTGAGATAAGGGCCAACAATTATTGATCATTAGGTTCATCCAGGTTGAAGTGACTGGTGATCTTGACAATAGCTATATCAATGAATGACATGAGCAAAAGTTTGACGGAGTGGGTTCCAGAGAAGGCAGGAAAGTTTACAGTTGTTATAGCTTGTTTTAAGAGTCTACCTGAAAATGAGATGTCCTCTGAGTATCTATGTTTATATGGATGGATAACTACGTATCTGTAGAAACTCAATCCAAACAACTTTTGTTGAGGATCTCCCAGGTTCTAGGCATGGTAATGTATGCTGCAGACACTGAGAAAAATAAAACACATTCACTGCCTTCCAAGACTCCACAAGAATGATATAGCAAACATTAGGAAAACGTGAGATACACACAAAATGATATACGTGGTTAAATATACACAGTCAGCCTGGGCATGAGTTTTTCCAGCATAATAATAGACAATGTGGTTAAAACTGTGGATTCTGGATTTGGGCAGTCTTGGGTTTGAGGCCTATCTCCACCATTCACCTACTCTGTGATTTTGCACAAGTCAGTTAATCTCTCTGTTCCTTAGTTTCCTTTGTAAACTAGGGATGCAATAATTTTCAAACTTTAGTGTGCCTGGGATGTTTGTTAAAAATGCAGACTTCTGCCCTAACCAGTTTGGCTCAGTGGATAGAGTGTCGGCCTGCGGACTGAAAGGTCCCAGGTTTGATTCCGGTCAAGGGCATGTACCTTGGTTGCAGGCACATCCCTAGTAGGAGGTGTGCAGGAGGCAGCTGATCGATGTTTCTCTCTCATCGATGTTTCTAACTCTCTGTCTCTCTCCCTTCCTCTCTGTAAAAAAATCAATAAAATATATATTTTTTAAAAATGCAGACTTGTGGGTCTCATCTCCAAAGGTTCTCAATGGGCAGGTCTGGAGCAGGGCCCAGGGATCTACATTTTTAAACAAGCACCTGGTCATGTTTGATGCCCTTGGCCTTGAACCATACTTCATAAAAGACTGAGAACTTATCCACATGATATGGCATCGACCTGGCACTCAGTAATTGCTCATTTAACAATATCTGTTCTTCCACTGGAAACAAAAATTCTTCTAATAACTTGCAATTGATGTCCAGAAACAGAAGTCCAGCATACCCTGAACATGTTAAATAGAAAGAAGAGCACAGGAATTGTTCAATATTTATTCGTGGCATATTTACTGAGTGCCTACTATGTTCCAGACCAGGCATGTCAAACTTGTGGCCCACAGGCCGCATGTGGCCCACAACGAATATTTTTGCAGCCTGGCCAATATAATAGTATGTGAGAAACGTTTTAATAAAAATTTCCAAAAAAATTTCATAACTTAATTTTTACAATATCCTGTTATACATAATTATTAACAATGAACTACAATATTCGCTAATGACTGATTACTATAATCCTCTTTCATTCTTTTTTTTTTTTTTTTTTTAAATATATTTTATTGATTTTTTACAGAGAGGAAGGGAGAGAGATAGAGAGTTAGAAACATCGATGAGAGAGAAACATCGATCAGCTGCCTCCTGCACATCTCCTACTGGGGATGTGCCCGCAACCCAGGTACATGCCCTTGACCGGAATCGAACCCGGGACCTTTCAGTCCGCAGGCCGACACTCCATCCACTGAGCCAAACCGGTTTCGGCAATCCTCTTTCATTCTTACATGCCTTACGCACAGGTGCACCATTTCTCTCCACTAATACTATATTTTAGCAGCAAATATTTTAGCAGCGGATTGCCTGCCATGTCATTAGTCTTGTACTGACTTATTTGGTGTGCGCAATAGGAAATATTTCGCTTTCGGAGAACAAGAAAAATAGATTTACTTACATTATGCTTATTAATTTGTGCAGTTATTCAATGTCTGGTAAGTTAATGTTCAAGAAAAAAAATACTAATTTTTATTAAAATGTTCTATTATTTTATGTTAACGATTACACATTTATTTCAGCCCTTTGTATTCAGCATGTCTCTATCAAAATAAACCTACGTTTCTATGAAAATTGAAGCTTTTGTTTTTTGGCAGCCCACATAAACTTAAACCTTGTTTATTTGGCCCATGTTAGCCTTCGAGTTTGACATGCTTGTTCTAGACAGTATTCAAGGGCTGGGGATACAGAAAATATCTGACTCAATAATTTGAGTCATCAAGGTAGGTAGAAGCCCCAAATGTAGTTTGCCACATCTTAGCAGCCAAGTGAGAAGTCCTATGTTTAATCACTAGCTGCTTCAGGTCGTACTTGTCCAGTGTTAACATGCACACAGTTACCTGGGATCTGATTCAAGTACAGACTCTGATTCATTAGGTCCGGAGTCGGGCATGAGAATCTGCATTTCTAATAAGCTCTCAGGTGCTGCTGATGCTGCTGGTCACAAATCACACTTGAAATGTCACCGTTTTAGAGTGTTAGGAAAACTGGATCACTTGCCCTTAGCATCGGAGTGCCTGTAGACATCTGGGGGGTGGAATCCTGAAGGGAAAACATGAAATCTGGGAAGACTGCACAGATGCAGGTGTGATTTGCTCACACTTTCTTCTGTCTCCTCTGTTTCTGGAATCCAGTCCTTATCCTCTCACATATGGTCAATGGCATTAGGTGGCCTCCTCTAAGGGAGAGAGACATTCATTCTGTTGGTCATTTGGTAAATTTCTGCTGGCTGCCTATCTATGGCAAGCTCTGTGCAAAGCACATACTTTGGCATTCAAGAGAGTACTAATCCAGCAGTTTCCGCCTCCTGGGCTCCAGGCAGGGGCTGCAGCAGGGGTTTGGGATAGAGAGAAAAGCTGCCCAGACAGTATCTGTGGCTGAAGACACTGCCCTGGCAGGACCCAGCCTTGGCTCTTTCTGTGGTGCACTATAAATGCATGCCTGGGAGAGGCACCCCTCTGCAGTCTTTGCCAACTGGTTTAGGACGGTACGGACCAGCACCAGGAGATGTCTGGATGATGTGCCAGCCAGGCCACCTGTCTCTCCTCAGACTCTCAGACCCAGCCCAGTGGCCACAGATGGCAGAAGGCAATGTAGATCCCTGGGGCCTCCAAATGCCTCCCCGGAAACTGGCGGCAGACAGTAACTCCAGCCAAGTCAGAGCCTTGACCAGAATCTAAGTGTGAGACACCCCACTCGGAGCTGAGGGGCCTGGCCTAATCCAATAACCACCAAGAACCAAAGGCACTGGCTCCAAGTCAAGTTGAACAGTTCAAGCAAAAGCCTTTCACCCTTTCCCAGGGTTTCTGATAAATCAAAGCAAATCCTCCCCCTCACCCCACCCCCCAATCTAGCAACCTTACAGAAACCGCTCCCATGCATTTACTGAGGGTAACTTGGTTTTATTAAAAACTAGAGGCCCAGTGCATGAATATGTGTCTCACAGCCCCGCAGCCCCGCCTGGTACCCTGCCTTGGCCTGGCACCGCCCCCTCACCTGCTCCACCATACCGGGTTGTGGTCCCACCCCCTGCCACTGCCATTGGTCGCTGTCTGGGGGGGGGGGGGGCGAGCAGGCCCCGCTCAGACCTGCCTTGGCCTGGTGCCACCCACCTGCTCACCTGCTCCACCATCCCGCCGTGGTCTCGTTCTCATCAGGGCCTATCGGGGCCCACAGCACCTCCACTGTCGCTGACACCTGCCATGTTCCGTACCACCCCTGATGGTCAGCACACGTCATAGCAAGTGGTCAAACTCCCCATTCTCCCAGTCAAACTCCTGGTCGAACAACAGCCCAAGGGGACAATTTGCATATTAGGCTTTTATATATAGAATAGCACACATTTAACAAGCCCTACACAAACAAGGCTCTATCTTAGGGCAGATTTGTCTTCAAGGGACTTAGGACCATTTAGGAAGATAATTCCGTAAGCATATGAAGGTAGTCAAGGTAAAACAAGCCATCTTGGGAGCTGTGGTGGTACAGTTAGGGAGTTTCTTGAGAAGGCCATCGATGGACCTGCACATAGACGCAGTTCAGGTGAGATGGAGGGTGAGGATGTTCCAGGGAGACGGTGATGTCTGTGAGGTCCATAGCCGTGCAGTGGGGTATAGAACAGTGCTAAGAGCTGGTCCTCGGTGTTTCCTGAAGAGGGAACTGCCCTTTGTACAAGAATAGATACTAGTACGCTGCCCGTGGGTGAAAGTGAGCCCTGAAGTTCCCCAAGTTGAAGGGGGAGATGAGAGCATTCAGTCGACTTCCAGGAATCTATGTAGAGAGCCCCTCTGATATGGCACAAGAAGGTTTAAGAACGTTAGTACATCACTGTAACAGTGAAAAACTGGAAACAGTTTGAATGTCCATCACTAGAAAATGGGATAAATAAACCCGTGTAAAAAGAAGACAAGAAGAAGAATTGTTGTGTTGTTTTGTGTGTCTGATGTACAAAGAGCCCTAATAAAAGTGTGAAGTGAAAAAGCACATTTCAGAATACACAAATATTGAATCATTTTATTGTACACCTGATAATAAAGCAAGTTTCTGGCTAATATGCACAGTATAATCCCATTCACATTTAAAAAATACCTACAAAAGTCTACATTTTTATCTCAACACAGACACACAGAGATATGTAATTTCATAGAAAAAACAAAGTGTTTGGAATGATAGCCATCAGACTAATGACTGGTTGGTTGCCTGTGTTGGAGGTCAGGGAGTGAGGCTGGGAAGGGGTGAGGGCTGGAGTGGGGGCTATAGAGATGGAGGGAAGAGCTGACTGTGGTTGTTGGAGCCCCAAGAAGCCCTTTGCATTTGGGCAGTGCTGGCTGCCCCACGGGTGCTTAGACTTCTCCTGGAATAGAAGCATTGTTGGGGTGGAGGGACGCGCTCCCTGAGCCCAAAGATGGGCTCGAGTGCCATCCTGGAGGGCAGGGGCAAGAGGCTGCCCTCTGGCTCAACCAAGTGCTGACTGGGTGGCCTGGCGCCTGTTGCCCCTCTTTGGGCCCCAGTGGCAATGTCCCTCTGGGCTTGTCTAGCTGGCCCAGCCTGAGATTCTTAGTCCTTCCAGAGCCTTCTCATGGAGGCTGAGATCCAGCAAGGCATGGAAAAGCCCCACTTGGCCTGTGGTCTGCTGGGACTTAGGCTTGGGCCAGGCAGGGACTGGGAACCATGTGGGAAGCGAGACGTTTCCGAGTAGCATGGCCTCCTGTGGGGGCTCCCTCCTCTGACGGGGAGTACCATTTCCTCCCAACACTTCAGTTTGAGGATATCTGGCCCAGCCTGGCTCCTTTAGGGAGCCAATAAGGGGATAATTTATTACCTGATGGGCTCTAAACAGTTAATGAAACTTACTAAGTGAGGGTTCTGAGCTGGGGAAGAGAGGTGGAGACTGCTATAGGCCTGGGCTTGGGCTCTGGGCCTAGGGATGTTGGTGTGAGCTGTGCATAGGTGCAGATCTGTTCTGCATACAATTCCTATGGTTGTTCTGAGCTAGCTTCAGGCTACAGAGATGTGCTATATGAGGCCTCTGCCCTGGGATACCACAGGACAGGAGAGGGGCATACATTGGATTTGGATAGTAAGTGGATAGGATCCAGGCTCAGTGCGGAACCAGAAGCAGCAAGGCCAGCTGGCCCCGAGATTCCTCACCCCAGTCAGGGATTCCTTAATGGTGTCCTGGCCTTGTCCAGCCTCCCACCGCTGGGAAGGGCTCCAGGGTTCAAGGTGGTTGTGTGGGAGCCTTTTGCAGACACTGGGGAGCAAGCTGTTCCTCCCTTAGGGCTGTGGACAAAGTGACTTGTGAGCCTGGGCTGGCCTTGGGTATGTAACTGCTGGACATCCAGGACCTGCAGCTCTGGCTGGTGGCAAGCTGCTTCCAAATGTGCTGGGTTTCCAGCCAGCCCCAAGGAGAGGCTTGGACAGGAATTGGCACTGCATGCTTGTGCAATGGAGATGCTTGGAAACAAGGACATTCTTGTTGAGCTGATCCCCACTAGTCCAGCTCCAAGCAGATTACCCACTTAGTGCAGTTCCTCTAAGAGAGTTCTACCAAAGGAGAAAACCCTCATTATCCTGGCAACCAGCTGGGTCAAGACAGGCAGATTCCTTGGGGGGCAGAGCGGACTGTGTTGGGCAGGGGGGACTTCTCTGGAGAGCCTCTATTATTGGGCATCTAACCTCTTACCTCTCTGTTCCACAGAAGCCCTCAGAGTTCAAGGAAAGGCCAGCAGCTCTTAGGTGTCCAGGCCTCTGGCTGGCCAGGCTGGGAGGACATGCCCAAGAAAGAACAGGCATCATTCTTGCCTCAGAAGACCTCATAGCCAAGGTGAGGAGGTGAGATTCCTAGACTGGAAACAAGATGAGGGAGATCATGAGTCAGTGCTGAAGTGTCTGCTTTGGCCCTGGGGGTGGGAGTGGGGAGGAAATGAGGGAGTCAGGAAGGAGCCACTATGTGGGGGAAGAGGGAAAAGAGAGGGCACAAATATGCTTGTGTGTGCACATGTGCATTTGTGTGTACGTGTGTGTGTGTGTGTGTGTGTTGTGTGTCTGCATGTATCCACTCATGCCAGATGTCACATCTCTGGAGGCCCCATCTTCTGTGCTACCTGCCCAGTCAACCTAAAAATAATTTCCATTTAACTTTAGGATTTGTTACTTGATGTAGAAGATGCTTGCCTAGCAGATATACTTTTGTACCCACACTTGATCTAAGATTGAGTTAAAATGAGCCTGCATTATTTAGGCATACACAGGATGACTAGTGAGCAAAAGGCAGACTAGAACAGCCCAGATGTGGCTGGAAAGTCCATATAAAAATGGTCCGCATATGGATAACAAATTGGAAGTATGCATGGATTGGCAGAGATGGCATTGATGGTGATGAAAAAGGACCCAATATGGCTACTGGGGGTGTCATCAGCCTTTTATCTCACCCACATGACATAGAATTGGACACATGGCAAGCACTCAATATTTACTTAATTTATTTGGAGACATTAAGAAAGAATGTTCACATATATGACACATGTGAAAATATGAAGCTTGATAATTCATAATGATAGACTGAAGTATCTTTTCTTAAATCCTCACCTGAGGATATGTTTTTCATTTGTTCTAGAGAAAGAGGAAAGGAGAGGGAGAGAGAGAGAAACATTGACCAGTTGGCTTCATGCATGTGCCCCAATTTGGGATTAAATCCACAACCTGGGTATGTGCCCTGACCGGGATTGGAACCCAAAACATTTCAGTGCACAGGAAAATGCTCTAACAACTGAGCAACACCGGCCAGGATTGAAATTGAATTTAAAAGTCAGTTTATTAGCTAGAGGGCTGAGGGGGGATTCAATTTTCAAATTGAAAGATTAAAGCCATGGAGGAGTAATAGATTGATAAGTAACTTGTTGAGACTTGATGAAGAGGTAGGAAGAGAGATAAATTGTGGCCAGATGACAGGTCAATAGATCATATAGGTAGATAGATAGGAAAACAGAATTGTAGCAATAGCGTGAGAGAGAAAGGTAAGGATGAGAGAGACACTGTGGAAGACAGAATAATGTCCCCCCCAGGATATCTATGTTGTGCTCCCCAGAACCTGGAATATGTTATACTTACATATAGCAACAGAGGCTTTGCAGAGAGGACTGATTTAAGGATGTTGAGATGGAGAGATTATCCCAGTTATCCAGGTGGACTCAATCTAATCTCAGGTCCTACCACTGACCTCTTTTTTTGTTTTTTGTTAATTCCCACCTGAGGTTATGTTTCCCTTGATTTTTAGAGTGAAAGGAAGGGGGAGAGACACACAGAGAGAAATATCGATGTAAGAGAGACACATCCATTGGTTGCCTCCTGCACACACCCTGACGAGGGCCAGCCTGCAACTGAGGTACGTGCCCTTGACCAAAATCGAACCCAGGACACTCTGTTCACTGAGCAAAACTGGCTAGGGCCCCACTGACCCCCTTTTCACCATGTTCCAGCCTCCCCTGCCTTCTTTCCAGTTCCTGATCATACCAAGCTCATTCCTACCTCAGGGCCTTTGAGTTCACTGTTTCCTCAGTCTCTTCCTTTTTATCACTCAGATCTCACTTCAAGTGAGAGTTGCCTCCCTGCTTCCAGATTTTTGTCCTAACGCCTTGGGTACGCTCTGTTCCTGGGGACTGGCTTGGGGCAACGGGATGTCCAAGCTCCTAGTCTGCTCTGGCTGGCACTAACCCCAGCCCTGGGTCCCACCCAAGGCTGTGGGATGGAGCAGTGCGCATGAGTCATCGAGCCACAGACACAGTCCCCTTGTTGGAGGGACCTGAGCAATTATGTTGTGGCAAACTCACAGGGCCAATGGCCCAATTGAAAGGGGAGGTTAGGAATTTCCCCAAGTCATTCAGACTCACATAAGGGCAGGAGGGGGCTAGAAAGTGGAGGAGCTGGGAAATGGCCTGTGTGGATGGTGCTGTTACCTCTCTTTGGTTGGCTCTGTGCCCACCTCAGATAGGCCAGGCTGTGGAGGAGTAGATGGCTCATCCCAGTCTGAGGGCCTTGGCACTCTCGACTACTCCTCCATTTACCACCTCACATTGACTGAGCACCCACTGTGGACCAGGTCTATGTTGCCCTACTGCAGGCCAGGCCCTGCCCCAAGGAGCTTACAATCTAGGCAGGGATGTAGGCTGGCCAGCAAACCTTACAGATCTACTGGACGAGGGCTCAGCATGAGGTTACACAGAGAAATCGCACTCAACTCCGGCTCATGGAGCAGGTGATGGGACTGGAGGTGGTGAGAGGATTCACTGGAAGGAACCAGGCAGAAGGGTGTTCCAGGCAGCAGAGCCAGCCTGGTGTGGCAGTCTCCTGCGGCTGCCATAACAAAGTATGTACCGCAAACTGGGTGGCTTAAAAATAACAGAAATGTGTTCTCTCGCAGTTCTGGAGGCTGGAAGTTCAAAATCAAGGTGTTGGCCATGTGCCCTACAAAGCCTCCAGGGGAGAAGCCTTTCTTGCCTCTTCCAGCGTTTGGTGACTCTGGGCTGTGGAAGCATAACTCCAATCTCTGCCTCCATCTTCACGTGGCCACCTTCCTTCTGTGTCTGTTGTCTCTGTGTCTTCATGCGGGGTTCCTCATGTGCACCTGTGTCTGTGTCCAAGTGCCCCTCTTCTTACAAGAATTCAGTCAAACTGGATTAGGGCCACCCCAATGGCCTCATCTTAACTCAATTAAATCTGCAAATACCCTATGTCCAAATAAGGTCACATTCAAATGAGGGGTATTAGCACTTCCATATATCTTTTTGTAGGGGCACAATTCAACCCCTAACGGTTAGCAAGTTAGCAAATGCTTCGGGAGGCATGGAGCTCAGGGCCAGAGCTCTCCGCCTAATTGTTCACAACCTTTGTATACATTTTCCCTGGGTGGCTCACTAGTCCTTACCCCTGCCTGGCATGTTCCCACCTCCAGACCCTTGCTCCCACAATCCCCTTGTGCACACCATCCCTGCCCAGCCTTCTCACTGCGCCTGGATGTCCCCATGATAGGCACTCATCACCGCCAAGGCAGAACCATCTCACGCCAACAGCTCTGAGTGCTGGATGGTCCCCCTTGCTTTGGCCACACTGTATGCCCCAGGAGCTCCCTGTCTCCCTGCTCCCACCACTTGGGGCCCCACTGAGCTCACGCGGCCCCTCCAGTGACCAGCGCTGCAGTGGAGCACTGCCAACCTGAGACAATTTGAATGGCTTGCAAAGGGCCCCGACCCAAATCATCTCCCTCACCCAGCACTCTGGGTCAGAAATCCCACCACTGGCAAGTTTGACAGCACCCATCCCTGATAAGGCAAATGCCCTGAGGGGAGACTCGGCCAGGAGTAGCTTGATAGGGACTTGCTCTGGAGCCTGGCAACCTGGTGCTATTTCACTCAAGTCCTATAGGAAACTTGCCTCTCAGGAGCAGGAGGGGCCGAAGAAGACAGGCTATTCTGCAGAGCCTTGTCCAGGGTGCAGGCTGCGCGGTAGGGGAAGCTGAGGGCAGCCCCAGTGGCCTAGTCCTGCCCAGACAGAGATGCACTCAGGCGCCAGGATATGCACTAAGCTCAGCCTCTTCCTTCTCTCCCACCCGCCCTCCTTTGTTCTGCACCTCCTGGCAGAAGAACCCCCCTCCACATACTCCCAGCTGCTGGGCTGTTAGTGGCCTTTGGACTAGGGAAAGACGGGGGCCTCCCGGGGCCCACGCCCAGGCTGACACTCACAGGGAGTAGGGAGAAGCCCAGAATTGTCATTCCCTGGGCACAGTCCCAAAGTGTCCTCACCCGGCCATTCCTGTTGTGCCTTTCTCCAGGGGGAAGGAGTTGGGGACAGGGAAGGGGCGGGGCCCATACCTGGAGGGAGGCGTTGTGCTGCCCGTGGCACTCAGTCCACAAGGGCCCATGGACCTCACACTCTGCACGGAGGCTCCCTGGGCTGCTCTTCCTTTTCTGCCAGAAGAACTGGAGAGTATGATGGGGGGTTGTGCTCACCACAGAACCCCAAGGGTCTCCAAAAGGCTCATTTGGAGGGGAGAGCCAGCCACATCGAGGAAGGAACTATTTCAGTTTGCCATAATCAAGTCTAGCTCAGGGCTGCCCAAAATAGTTGGGTAACAGAATCCAAGTGTCTGCAAAGATGGTTTGGCTCCTGAGGCCTGGGGTCCAGTGCAGGCCCAGGTTGGGGTCAGGAGGGTGGCTTCAGCCACTGCACACAGATTCCAGGCCCCCTACCGCCTCCTCAAGGCTTCAGTCCAGGCCAGGCCCCTAGTAGGTCTTTAGATAACGAACCCTCTAAAACCCCCACTCTTACCAATCCAGTCAATGCCCACATAGCAGACATGAACAAAATCCTTTTTAGAGGAAGGGCTTCATGCAAAATTTCATGGTGCCCCAGAGAAGGTAAGGAATGCTTAGGGGTTTGGCTGAGCCTGGCTTTGAACTTGCTGCTCACAGGAGAGAAGGCATCTCCAGGCCTAGCCCGAGCCTATGTTGGGGGTTCAGTCAGTGGCCTGGGCAGCTGGGTTGGCTTCTTTCCCCAGAATGGTCTCTCTGCTTGGTTTCTGAGGACAGCTAAGTTGGCGGCTGCCTCCACTCCAAGAAGCACACCCTATTAGTGACTCTATGGGCCCCTCCTGGGCCTAGTCCTCTGCCCTCATTGTCCCCTCCTTTACAGGGGAAGAGGGAGGCCACGCAGGGCATGGCATGGGTCTTGTGGCCCACAGTCTGACTCCTGAGTGTGGCACCAATGCTGGGGCAGGAAGGAGCAGGCAGAGACACCCAAGAGCACCTCTGGAGCAGGGGTGGCTGTCTTTGCTCAAAAAAAGTGAGTGCCC